TTTCTTTGTAAAGGCGTGTTCGCTGTTCCCTCTCTGGACACCAACAGAATATTTGCTGTTGTACTGAACAAGGGAGCTCAGTGCTAAACACGAAAGAAAGATTATCAACTTAAAGTAGAGTTTAGATCCAATTTTCACTAAGCAGTAAACAAAAATGTTCATGTGACGTTTTCTATCATGTGATCTTTTCCAGCTTATACAACATTTTATATACTGGGTACACTACTATCAATGCAAGTACCATTTGTTGGATTTCAACCAGTTAGAACCAGTGAGCACATGGCTGCAGCAGGTAAGTAAACAACAACTATTTTATTCTCTGAGGCGTTTTGTATGCTGTACTTGTTAGATGTTAATAAGGTCTTGAATATTTATCAGATGCCAGATGCTATTCAGGTCATGAATATTCATGAGATGCTATTCAGGCCATGAATATTCATGAGATGCTATTCAGGCCATGAATATTCATGAGATGCTATTCAGGTCATGAATATTCATGAGATGCTATTCAGGTCATGAATATTCATGAGAAGCCATAGGTTGTTCAGTACATGAATATTTATGAGACTCTAGGTAAGTAGAGTCATGAATATTCATGAGTGTTAAAATATTAATCAGCTCATGAATATTCATGTATGTTAGGTTATTGGGTCATGAATATTCATGAGATGCTGAACATCAGTCATAAAGAAATCAAACAAGTAAAATATTTTCTTGTTATAGATTAATTTATTAGTAAGGATGAAAAAAATTACATGATGAATAGCCATAGCCATGTTTGGTTTAAATAACGTGTGTATAGTTTTGGCAACAATGTTACTAATACCGGAGTCTGAATATTGATATGTTGTATGTTTTCCAGTTTCCTATCCTTGTGAAATGGCTACAAAAATTAAGGCCATTAAAATATGGGCATGTCGTTAAAAAGGGGGAAAAAGTTACTTTTGTACTCCCCACCTCTACCCTCCACTGCTCCTCTATTTAATTGTATATTGCTCCTCTCAAGGATACCTATAATCATCTCAAGGGGGCATATACAATTGATTTTGGGGCGATTGGGATGAGTTAGGTTAGGGCTGATAGGTACAATTACAATAGTATGTTCAGATCAGAAATAATTAGTTGCAATTGTAATAATTATGGTTGGGCTATTACTCTGGCAAACTGTTGGTTTTCAATGTGATTTTCAATGTTTTACTTTCAGTTCAATTATGGGATCTTGTGTAATGCGTGTGGTTTGAACATCTGCCAAAAAAACTAAATGATTTGATTTTGAGCTTGGATATTTTTCAATTTCAAACTCCTATCTTTCCAAGAGAGGAGTATAACATTGAGATACTCTTACTTCATCAAAATGGACCATTGTCATATAGCGCATTATTTAAGCGAGGAAATGCCCAAAAATTAGTTTCATGTTTCTCGAATCCCGCACGTTGTTTTGATGCCACTACGATGCTATGACATTTGTTAGTCCTGGTTGTACGTTCAATTTCACATATACTGTAAAATACTTTATTTTCGCTTGAAATTAATTTTTGCTATTTTCGCTGAAGGAATAAAATCCAGCGAATATACCTTTTTTTCTATATTTAACATTCAACTCGTCAAAAATCGGTGAAAATAAATTCCATACAAAACACCCAAAAAGTCTTTTCAGCGAAAATTAATTCCAGCTAAAATAAAGTATTTTACAGTAACGAAAAATCGCCAATTGCGTTGAACTTACTAGTTTCTTCTCTTTTATTGCAGGCACATTTGCTTTGATCCAGGCCTATGCCGCTCTCAAGTATGTTCAAGATTTTTTAACGAAACAAGAATTCAAGTCATTGTTTTTCTTTGCAATTAGCTCAGTAGCTGGAGTCTTGTTTCTTTGTGTTGTGTACCTAACGTATGCAGGTGAGTAAAATCAAACTGATAGTTGTTGAACTTGATTATGCAAATTAGTGACCCAATCAAATTGGGGCAAAAATAAAAGCACTAGATTTTATCACATGAGTGAATGCGGGTGTAAATCCCAAATTTTCTGATTGGAATACCTAAGAATCATTGTTATGCTAATTTATGCAAATTAACCAATATCCTATGAAAAAATCCTATCATGTGATTGGGTTGCATGAATGAACATTTCAGATCTGCTGATTTTTTCAAAAATTTGCATGTATGCGAAGAAAATATGACCACCGGATGGTGGAAATTAACAGAACTACTTTGTGTGTTGTTCTGTCTTTGTGGCATGTCCAGTGGTTATCATACATAAAATTGCATCAAAGCAGAACTGTATCTCAGACTTATCTTATATTGTTGAAGGATAGTTCTGGGCGATGTTTTGGATAGTGGGTCATATTGTGGGAGGTCACCAGAACTGAAACATGTCCCAGGGGGATGTTTTGGAACTTTTTTCAACATTGTTTTGTACAATTAACTGTTTTCACATCAGATTGGCATTCTCATAAAAAGTACAATCTACACTCGGTACCGTAAAATCTATTAATTTGCTGATTCTACTAATTGCTGAAATACTATTTCAAGAAAAGTTAACTTCAAACGACATAAACGTAACTATGAGCATGTGGAGGCATCAAAAGATCGTCCAGGTGCTGAAACGTCACCCGAGGGCGATATTTTGCAGTGGGTGATCTGTCAGATAAATTGGGTACATGTGGTGTAATAGGTGATTTTCTGTTGAACTGCAAGATCACGAGATGCATGAAAGACGCGCGTCGAACGTCTGCCGCAAAAATCAAACGATTTGATTTTGAACTTGAATTTCTTTATTTCGGAGCTCACGTCGACCAACCGATATTCGACAGGAATATTGCTTCCGAATACCCTTACTTAATCGAAATTGCCTATCATCAAATGTGGACAGCACATTATTAAGCATGGAAATGTCCCCGAAATACTTTCGCGTTTGTCGAATCCCACGCGATGTTTAACACCACTACGACGCTATGACCTTTGTTTGTCCTGTTTTTACGTTCGATTTAACGCATAACGCGCGATTCTCGCAGTGAACGGAAAATGGTCTATTGCTCTGTTACATGCACTTGCATAAATGTGCTACAGTCATTGTATTCTACATGTGTTGTATACTGTAAAATGACTAATTTTCACTGGGTTTAAATTTCAATGATTTAGCATTTCAGGCATATTCAGTGGGTTTTAAATTCACGGTTTTATCATTTACCGATAGATAATGTATTCTATGCTAAATTTTACATATTCACATATTAATTTAGCGCATTTTCCAGTCAGCGAAATAAGCAAAATTAAAACCCAGTAAATAATTAATCCTTTTACAGTACATCATTATGGGACCCATATCAAACACAACACAGTGCAATGACTGTAGAACTTTAGTGATTTAGTATACTATATCTACAGTACAGTCTGAGTGTATTTTTAAGCTTATCTTGCTTTTGAAAGATCTAAATTTTCCAGAATAATCTGCCTAAATA